GGACATTCAGCGAAGTGGCCGTTCTGCAAAATGTCCTTTCGGTGAATTGGCTTCGGCAAAGGGGGTTTCGGCGGAACAGTTTCGGCGAAACGTACCGTAACCATTATTATTATAGGTGAAGTGTTATTATAATTTAAAGTTCATAATTTCAATGTGGTCCAAAAGTGTGATTCTCAAAATCACGATCAAGAAAAAAAACGAAAAATAATTTTCATAAAAAAAAAAAAATGGTGTAATTACGGATCGACAAAGTTCCGAACACCTAAATTATTATTTATCACGTAATTCGACATAATTAATTAAGTTTAGGGACGATGCATTGTTTTACATATATCAAATAGCGCATTGAAAATTATTTTTGAAGATACGTTTCTTCGAGAGTTAAAAAAAGTTTTTATTGAAGCATTTTTCGTTAAATTTACAAGATTTTATTTAATAGTATTTACCAATATTAGAACTTTAAATAATGTAAATGCTTGCGCTTAGCCGGATATAGCTCACACGATAACCGTTTCTCCTGAACACCGCGTAGAGGTGGCAAGCTTCGTTCAGGTAAAGAAAATATTTGAACCATCACATATCAAATGGATGGTTCATTTGAGGTGATAAGAATGTGCAAACGAATATAATGGGGTATAAAATTAAAAATAATTAAAAAAATTTTTCACCTCAAAAACATCATCGAAATACATAAGTCGTAAGAATATTTTTTTTTTTTTTATATTTTTTTTATATTTTTTTTATATTTTTTCTTATAAGTTAATATCTAACTAAAAAGAGAATACGGATGAAGTGGCCAAAATGGGGAGAGGATTTGAATTGCAAAAAGGAAAGACGAAACAGCCAACTTCATATAATATATACGATACCCATCCCATGTATGTATGTATCGTAGTCATGCTTATCAAAAGATAAACACCCTAGTGAAACTATATTAAAAAGGGGGAATCTTTATTTATTTTTTTTTTTTTTTATAATTTTCTTTTACTTAAGTGTCAGCCAAGGCAACGACGAAGAAGAGGTGGTGGCCAGTTAAAAACGGAGGGGGAAGGGATAAAAACCATAATCAATGGCAACATAGATACCAGGAGGATCAAGATCCATTGGTTCAGGCCATTGATTAGGTGGGATGAAGGGGGTTTCAATAAAAATGCCTGGTGGATCAAGATCCATCGGCTCTGGCCACCTAAGAAGTCTATAATTTACAAAGGGGCGATTAAAAACAGGGAGGGTTAAAGTGGGGGTGGAAGTATTAGAGGAATAAGAAGATACTGAAGAAATAGAAGGGGATGAATAAGGGGATGAACTTAAAGAAGAGGGAGAAGGAGGGGAAGGGGGAGAACGATACGTTGTGATATTAGGGAGGGAAGAAAAAGGAAGAGAAAGAACAGGAAGGTTAGTAGGGGGAACAAAAGAAGGTACGGGAATAGGTGAAGGAAATGGGGATGGAGAAAAATTTGGGCCAGTAGAAGAAATAGAAGAAGTGGGAGAGGTAGGAGAAGAAACAGGAAAAGTGGGAGAATGAGGAAAAAAAACTAAGGAAGGAGAAGCAGCTGTTGGAGAAGGGAAAGGAGAAGAAGGTACAGCTGTTAAAGGAGCAGAAGAAGAGGGCACTGAAGGGGGTATGGAAGTAAGGGAAGTTGAAGAAATAGGTCGTCGCCTTGGCGCGACAACAGCACGATTGACACCTTGAACGCGAACCTGTCGAGTTTGTCGAGTCATCGTTAAAAGATTCCTTAAAATAATAAAATGTTATTTTTTGCTTTAATCCTTTTGAAAAATTTCTTTAAAAAAATATTACATAAAACATTACACACCAAAAGTAAAGATATGATGGAATAAAGGTAAAAGAAGTTGAGAAATCCTCGTTATTTATTTTCTTCAAAGGATGATCGAAAACAAAAATTAGCCAATGAACAATCAGCAACCGATCATCTGTCACGTCATTCGTAATAACAAATGATGACGTCATTTGCTAAAATGCCCGTGATTTGGGGAAAAACATTATACTAAAATAATAATTATATTTTATATGAATAAAGTCGAATTTTGTATTGTCTATTATTCAGAACAAAGAATGTACTTTCATTTTTTTTTTTTCATATCCTTTATAGTATACTTAAGAAAAATAAATTCAAAATTATAATAACATATTTTAAGGATATAAACTTCCTTTATTATAATGTGGCAAATTTTGTAAATTACGAAGGATTTTGACAATATAAATTCGATCTTTAATTCCTTCTCGTATACACTGCATGCCCCTTAACATTCTAAATTATAAATCAAAAAAGTAAATTATAAATATATAGATGCCAAAAGTATTCGGAATTCTGACGAAAACGAAATTAGAATTATTGAAATTTTCCCAAGATACGTCGAAGTTTTGTAAAAAATTTATTCCAAATTCGAAATTCTATCGCATAAAATTATTGATTTAAGATCCGAATTGCCACTTGATTCACCCGATTTTCTATTGCAAAACCATTGAAGGATATGAAATTTATGACAAATTCATTCATGGTATTTTAAAAATTATCTTATATCATATTTAAACTTTTAGTTAAACTATAGTATAAATTTATTAGCAACTCAACTATGTAAAAAAATAATGATATGATTAAATAATTAGTTTGAATAATTTGTTATTGGGGATTCATGAATGAGTAAAATGATCGAACATTTACACAAAGAATTTACTGCGTCTTCTTAGGGAGTGAAGACCTAAAAAGCGCAAAATTCGAAAAGAATAATAAGAAACATTTAGACTCTATGCCCAGAAACAATCCAAAAAAAAATAATTATTATAATAATTAAAAAAGTAAAAAATAATTTATTGAAGATAAATCAAAAAAAAAAAAATTAAATTAAATTGCTTAAAATAAAAAAATAAAATATACTTTCCGCAGCTTATCGAACTGGTCCAAAAAAGAACAATAAAAATAAAAAGAAGAAAGAAAAAACCTACCAATCAAATATTGAAATCAAGCCATCTCCTGAAATTTTTATAAGCGAAATAAAATCACCAAGACCAAAATAATATTACCTATTACTTGCAGAAGTGTTCCAACCAGAAAGTGGAACGAACCTACGTAAAAAGACGTAAATTCCAAAAAAAAACAAGACAAGAAATTAAATATTTGATTATTGCGGTCCGAAGCGACTTAAACGAACACGAAACCAAACAACAATCAAAAAAAAAAAAATAAATCTATATTCGCGCAAATGATTAGATCTGAAAAAGAAAAAAGGGCGCGAGATTTTTTTACCCGAAATACCAAATCTCTTTGTTTAGTGCAGTAGATCATCCTTCCAAGAATCCAGTCCTCGTACATAGTAAAAAGTATTTTTTTATCTCATCTCGTTTTAACCTAAAATCCTTAACGGTTAATTACAAGTTAAAAATATTCTTTAACCGATTCCAATCTCTAGCAATAAATAAGAGAAAGACCTGGTCAATAGCTGACACAGTTGCACGTTTTTAGAGTCTATTTTTTGTTCTTACACTTCACGTTGTATTCATCTCCGAAGAGTTACCAGTGTCTTAGAACATCTGGCGAACTTAACACAAGCTTCTCTACTGATTCTGAAGGAAGCTTCGGTTATGTATCTTTCTTTATAAGCTGAGCTGTTGGTACATTTATGCAGATTCTAATTTTTTACGATTGTATTTATTGTGAAGTATTTCTGCCTTGTTTTTGTAATTAATCTATCAGACTTCAAATATCGAGAAGAATTGAAACGGCAACCAAACAACAATCAAACTTTTTTGCAGTAATTCCTTATGTTGATCCAAAAAGATTTTGTAAATTAAGAAAAATAACTCAACAATATACGTTGAATGAAAAAGTGATGTTTACGTACTTTATAGGAGATATCAAGTGGTCGACCACCTTTTTTGTTAATGATGAAGAATATGACATTATGGTTTACAGATCACAGATTTTCGAAGAATTGTTTATTATCTCGCTAGGCGTAAAAACTTGTTGAATAGATAATCGATTAATCGACACAAGTAACTTTTTCAAAAGAAATAGTGGAGATTGTAATTCAAAGGGTTTAAAGAATGAGTATATAATATTCGTGATAAGAATTACATGAGAATACTAAATGAATTCGTTAAAGAACCAGATGATAAATTTAAAAATCAAGAATAATTTATTTCAATCACCACAAATTAAAGTGGCTCAAAGGAAGTCGTTAATCCATTTACTTAAGGGGTTTTACCCAAGAGAGAGGGACTAATGGTATGACCGTTTTAGAAACTTATCATAAATGTGTATGTATGAATAATTTTAATGACATCAAAAGTAAGTGGTAAGTCGCTATAAATTTTCATAGGTAAATCTCCTAGTCTAATTGATCCTGGATTAATATCTTTATTTGAAATTTGGGTGAGGTCTTCTAATATAATTCCAAAGTTTGTAAAATCTTTTCATAACCACCACCATCATATTCACCATTACCAACAACTTCACAGTTTTCAAATTATCATCATCACTAAACATAACTATAATCAACACCTTTCGGTATCAATAACGAAAGTAATGCGATAGTTGTTTTAACTAAGACTACTTATTTTGTGTTTCTTTTTTAATATCTAAAAAATATATATATCAGCAGATAATTCCACAAAGTTTCATCATATTGATTTCCACAGAAATATTCAATATAATCAAAATATTATCGACCATCAGTACAAGTATAATGATTTTAACATTCAAAAATTTTTGAATCATCTTCAAATACAATGTCCTCACCTTCCCTTCTTATATCTCAAGATCTTGTCTTTATCTTCTACTCAGGCATCATGGACTGTATTAAATTTCCAGAAACCATGAATACATGCTTTTGAGATCTTAAAGTTTTTACAAGGCGTTTACATTCATCCAAATTCTGAGGCTCCCTGCAAATATTCAATGGATTAAAATAATATTTTTGTTAATCATTTATTTTTACGTCTTGCATCATTTGATCGTAGATTTCGGTAATGTCTCCAAAATCGTGGCTCAGTAATTTCTTTTTGGAAATTCCTTGTGATAATTTTCTCTGAACTCTCAGATCCCCACAAAAAGGATCTAAAACTTTTAAAAGAGGTATGATAATTGATGGCAATTCAATAATAGATTAACTGAACCCTTTTCAAATCATACAAAATTTTACAGTAAATGAGAAAACGAAAAATTCTGGCCGAGAACTACTTAGCGTTTTTGTATCGATCTTTTTTTAAACAACTCTTGCGAAGACCCGAATATGAGATTGGTCGACTCTTCCCATATTTCCTTGACGCTTTTCTGAAACCACTTTTAATGAAAGAGAATTCTTACTCATTTCCAAATTAATTGCTCTGTTATTTTAAATTAATTCTCTTGGTAATGGTTGTTCTGCAAATATTATTGGATTTTGACAAACAAGGATCAAAATATTCAAAAAAAAAAATTTAACAGTAAGTAGCAAAAAAAAAAAAAAAAAAGAAAATTCCCGGAAATACTGATTGAAACATCAGTGTAGCCGGGATAATAGATTTTTACATTCTCGTAATTCCGACCGTATAAAATTTTTTTTAAAAATTGAAAACAATTTTTATATTAAAAAATTTTTATAGTACTCACATTAAAATAGCGTAAAAGCAATGTCCTGCCTTATAAAATTACCTGCGCTTGAAAAATATTATCTTATAATGTAAATTTGTGCGAATAATAATTGTTAAATAAATTTATTTTTTTTTTGGCGATTGTACGCGTTCTAATATCGATTAGAATCGATTTATCGAAACCGACCGAAATCGAATCTTAGCATCAAAACACGAGAAAAAAGTAATCACAATTAATCGATTTTAAACTACTTTTGATATTAGTTGGTGGCATTGGTGCTTCAATCTTCTATGCTATGAATCATGGTTAAAAATTGTGGCGCAGAAATATGCGAAGACAACTTTATGACTTTTATATAGATTTTATAAATGAATGAGATGAAGGAGTGAGATCAACAATAACAAAGAATTTATGACTACATAAGGTTTTCATATATTAAAGTAATGGGTTAACGACTAGTAATAAATTATATAATTTTTATCAGAATAATTATGACGTTAAATTTTTAACGAATAAAAAAGGTTAATAATTATTATGCAATAGTAATAATTATATTGATATACTGTAATTAAATAAATATAATAAAAAGTGTAAAAGAAAATGTTGGCGAACTATTCAAAAATAAAAACAAAAACGTGAAGGACCGAGTAAATCGATTCAATTTATAATCATTATTGATGTTTTTGCTCCGGACCATTCCTCTCTAAGTGTGATTCAAGGTTTACGGCTTCAAATGTAGCAAAATGTGATATTTCCGCTCAAGACACATGCTCCTTTTAGGCTTTCCTCTTTACCACTCTAGCCATCAAATTGTAAATTTAAACTTTAACAAAGAAGCTTATCGATGGCTTTGGTACTAGAACATATACTGACAAAAACGTTTTGAGAAATGAAGTAGTTGGTCAAACTGTACAATCTTTCTACAAAAATACTGAATAGGCCGACAGAACTTGAAGATGTTTCGCCCTTCCAGCTTTATCTAAAGTATAAATATTGGAGAGGACAATGGAAACAATGCAAACGAGAAAACATCGTGCATATCTGGCTACGGCCTTCATCTCAGATTAAGACCTCAATGAGAAGAACTTTGTCGAGTGAAGGTCCTTCTTCATTTTCATCTTTGCACTTAATTGAAAATTATACGATCACGTGGTCAAACTATTTAATAAGCATCGCGAAATAATTGAAAATGATCACGTAAACTTACTTGGTTCTCCTATAGTTAACATAGAATATGAGTTTCTCTATGAAGAAAGTGAACCTATCTTGAAGTGCTGGAAGTTGGATGATCTTGTTAGAGATTAAACCATTTCTCCTTTAGGTGCCGGAAGTATAAATGCAAGTTTTGGTCTCTGTAATTGTTTGAAGAGTTGATAACGCTTTTACACATCCCCGTAAGCTGTGACCAAACAATATTTCGCCTCAGTTTTGTTTAAAGTATATTCAAAGCTTGGACACCCGTGATGAAATGGCTCAACGATCTATCACCAATTTATATTACAGACCTCCGCCAAAAGTCTCCGAACACCTTTTAGCTCAATATAAAACTCAAAATTTTAAAGTTTATTGAAAAAAAGTTTATTAATATATTTATTAATGTATGATATGCTATACATTTTGTACTAAGTAATTAGTACTTGGTCGGACCTCCATTTTCTTCAATTATAACCTAAATTCACTGCAGCATACTATCAACCAAATTTTCAATAGTATGTATAGAAATTTCTCATTATGCCTTCTTAATGTATTAGTCAAGTTCAGCAAGATTTGAAGGCTTTTTTTTCCTTTCACAAATGCTTTCTTGACATCAGCCCACAGATTCTTCATTAGATTAAGGTCTGGACTTTGAGCCAGCTATAAAAGTATACACAGATCATTTTTCGCATGAAATTTCTTTGCAAGTTTCATTTTATGGAGGTAAGCATTATCCTCCTGGAATATACTATTACCATTTGGAAATGCATGTCTCATAGTTGACATAACATGCTTGTGAAGGATGATAACATGTGAAGCACTATTTGTTATTTCAAATAATGGAATAATGGGTCCCAAGCTTTGTCTTGAAAAGCATTTCCAAAACATTCGACCAGGGTTATGTTTCAATGTAGCAGAAATACAAGAAATGTTTCACTTTTCCTGAAGTTTCCACCATACTTAACTACATTGACTTTGTTGGAATTAAGAAAAGGTTGATTAGTCACTTTACATAACTTTTAACCAGTCATCCTTTGTCTAGCTTTGGTGATCCAAATACTATACAAGACGTGCTTCCATATTTGCTGATGAGATTAGAGGTTTTCGTCGAGTAAGACAATTGTTTAACCTAATTGCACTAAGTATCCAGCTAATAATGCGAGCTGAAACATCTTAGCTGGTCTTTTTTTCCAAAGTTGTTGAACTTTTGCAATGCATAAGCGATAATTTTTTCTTTTATCATTAGTTACAAGTCACTTGAGTCAGTTTCATTGTGAAGGTTCAATAAGAGGGATTGACCAGAACAAGGCTTCAAATTAGTAGTTCTGGTATCATCTATCCTTTTTAAAGTATCAAATACTATTAACACTTCACAACTGATGGTCTCAGAAATAGTTCAGTAACTATCGTCATGTTAACAGCAAAAAAATATAGTACTGCATTGTTCTGCTGTTAATTCTTGGGTCATTTTCGTTGTTTTCAGAAGATTAAAGTTTATTTTGATTTAAAGTCAAAATAAACAAACCAAATGCACATTTATTAGGTTTGACTTATATAAACAAAGTCTGAAACGTTATATAATCGCAGTATTATAAAGTCACATAACGTTATCTATATGAAATTGCACCTAAAAAATGGTGTTCAGAGACTTTTAGTGGGATCTGTAATTACTAGTTTTGTGTTTTTTATTTATTATCAAACATTTAAGCCTTTTACGCTAGTTATTATTAATTAAATATAATTATTCAAATTAACACTTAAAATCTATAAAACTAGTTTTATCATATTATTTTAATATATCAAAACTATTATTTTTTACATCTAATAGTTTTAGCAATTTTTTGGTATAAATCTTTGTATTAATGATAATAAAATATTAGCTTACATTATTCTATGATTAATTTATTTTTTTTCATTTTTTTTTGCAAAGCGTGATAAAATAAATAAATCAAATAATTTATAACATTATATATAAATATAATATTTATATATGAATAAACTAAATGTTGATTACTCCTTTTTATAATTATTGATTATTAAATAAGTTATTCAAAAACTTTTAAGTACTCTCTATAACAGAAATTCATAGATAAATAATTTGAAATTTTAATTTTATTAGTGAAATAGCAATTTTTGAAATATTATAATTTAATATTAATTTAATAAAAATAATAATTTAAAGCATAAATATCAAAGATTAATAACCAATCTATTATAAAAATAATATTATTTTATTATTTTAATATCATTAAAAAAATTATAAAATTTAAGAAATTTACTAAAAATTGTAATGGTTATAAATAATTTGCATTATATTAATCACTCAATAGATAAATTATAATACATTAATAATAGGTAATACTAAGTATTATTATTATTTCTTACATAATCTCTAAAGAAAATCAAGGTTTTATCAAGCAAAGCCTGAAGAAAAAATTTTCAAGCATCATTTTCATCTCAATCTATTACAGTTCTATAATTTTAGCACTTGTACATCTCAGATCCTTTTACTTTTTGAATACTCTCATACTAGTTGCAAGTTTTTGAAATATAGATCTTATTTTAGATAATAATATATACTCTTAATTCTTCAGCTTTAGCTATTAAACATTAGCGAAATTAATAGTAAACTCAATAAAGTATTTATGATATTTTTTTGTATTATATTTCTTATTTTTCAATTGACTATATTTGATATTTCAAAAAAAAAAATATTAATAACATTAAATTAGCAAGTAAAAAAGTAACACTCTTTTTATGAATTTCACTTTATAGATATTTGATCTTTTATATCATCTGAGAAATTATATCATCAAATCATAAAATTTTTTTATTTTTATATTTTAAATTAGAGCAACTAGTTTGTCTTTTATAAAATAAAGATTATCCATATATTTGCATAAATAAATAATTTGTTTAATATTATATTAGCTAATTTTACCTACATCTTTAGTAGAAGAGAACCATATAAAGATGTATAAATACTAGAATTAATAAAAATTATATAAATTGAGTCATCTGTTTAGGTTTTACAAAGCTATTTTGCATTTCATAAATTTATGAAAATTTTCATTCATTAGTTTTATGAATATATGTAATTTTATAATCAGATATTATTTTGTGAGAAACAGGCCACTTATTATTACTTATTTTTTTTTCAAAATGAAGAGATCACAAATTACATTTATAATGATTCAGAATGATAATAGGCTTATGATGATATATAAAAAATATTAATAGATTGTAATATAGATGAGGGACGAAACTCCTTAATAACAGTCAAAACTTAGACAAACTATATTAAAATCATAATAAGGGATACGACAAAACCCATTCAATACGACGAAAGCCAAAACTGTCAAAACTATATTAAAAATCCCTATAAAAAATTTGCATACGTTTTTTCATTATTATAAATAAGTTTTGTATACGTTTTTTAAAATTCTGTATCA